TGCCTCTTCTACACTGTTCATTGGAGTCTCCTACATGCTAAGCACTATTCTAGGAATTTGCAATACTGAACCATCTAGACACGATTTCTGCTTTTAGGCAGCTTACATTTTAATAGGATGGAGAGATGGACAAGTTAGACAGTATTCATAATAAATAAGAAAATGATATGCCAATTCTTCAAAATACAGCCAGAGTGAAGCTCTTCACTGTCTTGCTTTTAAGCTGAAGTTCACTCTCTTTACTGTGACTTGTAGAGACCCTAGCCATTCTGTGTTTCACCATCCTTCCATGAATTAGATCTCTTTTCAAAGTCACTATGCCTGAAAAGATACCCAGGAATCTGTTTCTGAATTTGAGATCCTTTTCTTGTCACATCTTCTTTACCACTTCCATGTTAAGCCAGTGTCTCTGGAATGAGTTCCACAGTCTACTTTTCTTTTTTGATAACAGGAATTGAACTCAGGACTTCATACCTGCTAGGCAGATGCTATGCCACTGAGCTATATCCGTGGCTCCTTTACCACTTCCATGTAATATGCATCACTGACATCATTTCTTAGCTGCTCTGTGGGCTCAGTTTGAGGTCTATCTTTTCCATAAACCTGTAAATTACATGGCAGCTAGGACAGTGTCTTGTTGCCCCCCCTTCCTCCTGCCCCTTGTGTCTTCAGGACTCAGTATGTGGCTTTGTCTGAGTATGAGTTGATTTGGAAAGGGAAGGAGTTCCTGGCTGAGCTGAGCAGCCATTCTTCTATGCGCAAGGACCAGGAAGGGTGCCTGGGATTTGGGGTGTAGTATAGGGGATAGTGGAAAGGAACTGGGGCTCAGAATAGTGACATAGGCAGGAAGGATTAAAACCTTGAACTGGAAATCTTGAAAAATTTAAATGAATTTTGAGACTATAGTTTTTTTTTCCTGTCTTTTTGCTTTTTATCGGTACCAGGGATCAAACTCACGACTGCGTGCTTGCAAGGCAGGTGCTTATGCCGCTGAGCTAAATCCTCAACCCCGAGACTATAGTTTTTTTAAAATCATTTATTAAATAATTTTGAAAACATCTTCAAGCATGGCTGACTTTTTAAACTACAAAAGTAGTATGACTATGAAATTATGATTCTTAAGATACATAAGAAGTTCCTGAGGGTATATATGCTAAATATAAATTCCTCTTCCTCAACTCCATTGGACTCTTTGCTTTTCTTCATTTCTCATCTTCATCTTTGTCTGTTTCTCTCTTCATCCACTCATCAATCCCTTCTCCTTTCCTTCCCTTCCCTTCCCTTTCCCCTTTCCCTTTCCCCTCCCCTCCCCTCCCCTCCCCTCCCCTCCCCTCCCCTCCCCTTCCTCCCTCTCTCCTTTCCTTCCTTCCTTCCTTTTATCTGGGGATTGAACTATATCCCAAGCTCCTCTTTCTCTCTTTCTCCTCCTCCTTTCTTCTTCCTTTTTTTTTCAATATTATTTTGATACATTTCCCCAGGCTGAGTTCAAACTTGCCATCCTGCTGCTTCAACCTCTCAATTTATTGGCTGAGACTACAGAAATGTCCTACTATTCCCATTTCTTTCCTCCTCAACTCTTAATCTTACATTTGAGCAGTAATTTAAGCTGAGTTTTTGTAGCTGCTCATCCATGCATTTATTCAGAAGTGTATTGCTATCTTAACATGAATAAAAGCACATTGTGTATACTATCACTTGCTTTTTCTTCCCGAAGTTTACTAAATACATCTTGCATGTCTTTGAAGTGTGAGAGTACTCTCTTAAAGATGATAGGAAACTGCAAAGTAGATGTATAGAGATGGGGAAAATGATCAGGGAATGAGGAGGAAAAGGAGAGAGGAATAATGGGATTGAAAATGATCAAAGCATATTAAATATATATACCAATTTCCCAAAATGAAGCAACTTTACCAGTTGTGTATTACTAACATACAGGCAGGTAGGCAGGCAGGATCATCCTTATATTTTCCAAGGCCATTCAATGTTCGATTTTAATCTGTACTGTTTGTGATACTAGTTCACTATTGAAGGGAAGGCCTATTAATTTGTTTCCAACATACCAGGAATAACAGATTTCCTTATATGTCCCTTTATGCATGTGCATGTGAATAGCTGTAGGGTAACTTTCTAAGTGTGAAGCTGCTGCATCAAGAGACTCACATACTCAGACTGTTTTTGAAACTATTGTACCATTTTCTATGATAAAGTGTTAGAAGTGCTTATTTACTGTGAAGTTACCACTCTTTTTTTTTTTGTCTTTTTCATTTGTATTGGTACCGGGGATCGAACTCATGACCGCCTGCTTGCAAGACAGGTGCTTATGCCTATGCCGCTGAGCTAAATCCCCAGCCCCGAAGTTACCACTCTTGACCATAATCAAAAGGTGAAGATAAACTCTTATTGTCTTAATCTGCAGTTCTGTAAATATGACTAATTTTGAACATATTTGATATGCTATCTTTTTGGATTTCTTTTTATTTGAACTTAACCATTTGCCCATTTTTCTAGATGATTATTGGCCTTTTTTCTATTCTTTGAATATTTTATTATTGTAAATTTTTTGCTTATAATTTCACCTCGAAGCTTTACAGTATCATTTATCAGTAGCATTGACTTTGGAGCTACGTGGGTGTTTTTAACTTTTCAAAAGTAATTTTATGTAGCCCAGTAATAAAATAAATGTGCAGAAAGGTCATATTGCAGCTGAGTGTAGTAACTTATTTGTGAAGCTAATAATAGAATTTCTAATGCTTAGTATATAATAGGTCTTCGTTAAAGTTTTGTGGAGGATAAATGAGTGACAAATGAAAGTTAATTTTTAAGGGCTTTTGGTTTTACGTGAAAGTTTATTTTATAGAATTTGATTTTCATAATAAGAGAACTTAAGTACACTGATTAGTTAAAAGATAAGATTGTTTTGTGGCAGATATTTTACAGAAATACTAGATTTATGGCAGTTAAGAATTTTTAGAAGTTGTACTTTGTGTAAATACAGTTTTCTTTATACGTGTGTAATATATCTATAGTATGTATATGTAAGTAAATGGCAAGATCTATCCAATGAATTCTGTGAGTTATTCTTTAAAACTTGCCTTTTATTTTCCTCTGGAAACTATTCCTTTGGGTAGCAGTTTAATTTCTCTGAAGTTATCTTTGACAAATACACTAACACACATTAGAAAGAAATGTTAAAAGTTTCCTTCTAGGCTTATTATAATCCAGTCTTCATCAGCCATCACTCTTCCCGCATTTTGTTCGAGGCCCTAATTGTTCTCATTTGGCAGGTTTAACACTTCCTGACAGAGAGGCTATTAAAGGCAAGTATTCTCCAATAACTGTCACTGGCTGGAACAAAGAACCTTCCAAGTCAGTGTGTGGAAATCACTAACATTCTTAAATGACCCTTTTCATGGATTTTTATCTTTTTAAGCTAAAATTTGGAGAATGTAGGGTCAATGAAAACAGCAAGGTGTAATAAAGCAGTAAACCTTGATTTTGGGGGTGCTGTTTGGGTGGGGAATATAGATTTATCTCAGACTTGAAAACAATTGTTATTTGGAAAATCTCATTAGCAGATGTGACTGGTTGAAGTAAAGAAGACTTAAAACTGATGTTGCTTTCAGGAGTGCTTTGAACTTAACAAGCACCTGTTTGTGGAGCGGACTGACTAATGAAAGGAAATTAAATTTTTCTGACAACTTCCCCTGCCAGCCTCCTTATTCAGGGGATGTTATTAGGTACTGAAGACTTTTTGGGGGGGGACACTGAAGACTTTTAAGGAAGAGTTTTTTTATTAGACATAAATGAACCAGTTATAAACATCCCATATCTTTGATTTAGGGGAAGATTATCACACGGTTATTGTACATTTTAAAGGTATTATCTTAGAAATTTAAAGATAACAAGCTTCACTTCAATATTTTGAAATTTTTTTAAGTCTAGGCATACTTCGTAGGTCTTTTCAAAAACACTATTGATAGTTTGTTTTCTGTCATTCAGTTTAAAAAAGAATTGAAAAAGAGCTTGGAGGGTAGGGCGATTTAGCTCAGCCGCATAAGCATAAATGCCTGCCTGGCAAGCACAAGGTCTTGAGTTCAATCCCCACTACAACAGGGGGAAAAAAAAAGAGGAGCTTGGAGCTCAGCATTGTCTTCATTATTGTAAGGGAAATGTGTCGGGAGTATTCTTTGCTCAGTGTTAAGTAAGAGTTAATAATCAATGAATGACTTAGATTCAAGGGAATTTCTTGCCTTTTCAGCTACTTAGAGGTACAAGTGACCTTAGTTGATAGTTAGCAGTAACTAATCCTTATATCAGTAAACTTTTCCTTTGTACCAAACTGTTTGGGAAGGCATTGTATTTTCCCGCTTGGAGTTTTGCAGGCCTACCCCCTTCATTTAAATTTAAGGTTTTCATTTATGTATAAGATGAACTATGTACCTGAAAAAGAGGAAGAAATAAAAGGTAAGACCAAAAGGGTAATGGAGATTACCATAAAAATTTTTTTAAATTTGATAGTTTCCACAGATACTAGAAATTTACTTTTTTATTTCTGGAAGGTTAATCAAGCTCCTCCCAAACAATAGAGAATCAACTCCCCCTGCTGACAGAATCTAGAAAAACATGATCTATAAATACTAGAAACAAGCTAGCTGTGGACAAGCTTTAATGATCTGATTTATAATTCAGTATTGATTGTAAACATCCAAATTTTGCCATTAAATCGCAGCAACTACACCAAATCATTGGCAACTGTGGAAGTGCTTCCTGCCAGTTTATTTCAAACCCCTTTGAGTTTCTTAATATAATAATGATGAGGTAGAATTTACATTCCACTTATGGTATTAATTTTACATTTCTCTGAATGAAAAGGGTTAGAAGGTTGTAAAATTGAGCATTAAATGAATCAGAGGAGACAGTAGTGCAATATATGACTGCCCTAAAGACATTGTGCAATGCCTCATGGGATTAATGTTGAGTCTCATTTCCTGCTGTTACAGGATGCAGATGAAGCTGTCAGAATTGCGAGGGAAATTGGTAAGTTCTTAAATTAACTTTCTTAGGGTTTCGGTGTCTTTCAGCAGATTCAGCTGAGTAAACATGTAATAAGTAATTCTCATAAAGCAAATATTATTTTAGTAGTTTTAGGTTTCTGATTACTTGTTGCTCCAAAGAATTTATCAGTTGTATTGTTCATATCCTATTATGAAAATGAACTTTAAAGGAGTAATTAAGCCTCTTTTGTAAGATGAATTCGCCAGCTAATTAAAAGAAGGAATTGTCATAAAAATCCTTGAAGTTGGATTTAATTTAAATTTGCATGTAAAGCAGTTGAATATAAGGTTTATAAAGTTAAATACATATATGATTAAAGTAAAGATACCATGTTTGACAAGATTCTTTTAAGTTTTGCTTGTTCCTAAAATATTAAATATCAAATTTTAAAATTTTATCTTGCTAGGAAATATAAGATAGAATGTAGGAAATTAGGACTGAATGTTGTGAATGGAGTAAAAGGTAAATTGGAGACTATTTTAATGACTTACACTTTTTAATAAAAAGATTTGTGATATTCATAAAATCAATTGTTATCTTTTGCATCTGCTAGTTGAGAAAATGTGTAAAAGCATACTGTTACCATGGATTAGCAAAGCTGTTAAAAACATTCCAATTTTATTAACTGAAGCAGTGTTTCTATACATTTGAAAAAAATGTGTAGCACATGAGAGAAATTAGGCAGTTCTTTTACAGGGTTTCACAACCGTTTTAAAACACCCTACAATTCCTATGTCCAAATTTTTCAGCATCCACAGGAACATTGCTTTGTAGTTCTAATTTAAATCATCTACAGTTCGAGAGTATTTGATTTAGCAAAATTTATATAGTTGTAATATGTAGAAATATTGGACTGAAAGTGATCAGCCCCATTAATAAGTACATCCTTTGAAAATTATAACAGGCGTTTGGCTGATTTTATTTGAATTTGGTATGCTTGATAGTATGAAGTCTAAGAGTAGAGGCAACTACTCTGGAGATGACAAGATGTAAAAGATATCCATACCGATTTTGATTATTAACTGCTTTCAAGTCCTACAATGTCTTCAAAGTTGTGTTTTTATAAAAATAGCTATGTAGCTGGGGATTTAGCTCAGCAGCATAAGTGCCTGCCTTGCAAGCACATGGTCATGCGTTCGATCCCTGGTACCAGTTTAAAAAAAAAAATAGCTATGTAATACTATGCTTAACTATATTAAGCCTGATGATGTGGACAAGTCTATTGAAAATAATAAGAGAAAGCATAGTAACTATGGTAGATCACCTAATATTGTGGTCTTATGTGTCTTTTTCATTGCATGTTTTTCTAGGAATTTGTTTGCTGTCTTGTTATGATCTGTTTTTCCCTATAATACAGAGAGAATAAGGGGGCTGGGGATTTAGCTCAGCGGCATAAGCACCTGTCTTTTAAGCAGGCGGTCGTGAGTTCAATTCCTGGTACCAATAAAAAAGGAAAAAAAAAAAAAGTGCCCCAGAGAGAATAGATATACATGTAGAAATTCACACATGGGAAGAATTTTTTAAACTATTTACAGGAACAGATTATATAATGTACGATGTAATCAACAGATACTCTGAAGAAGAAGATTCACTAAGAAACCCAATGCTAATTCTGTAACACTATGATATAAAATCTAGCAATACTATTATTCACTATTCAGAGTGATATTAGTCTAGTCTCAAGTTCAATTTCAGCATACGTAAAGATAAGGACAGCTACTATGAAGAAAATGAGAGACATTATGGTAGTCATTATTGACTTCCCCAATATCAAGTCTTGAAGACTTCATCATCCTGTAATTGTTTGATTAGTTCTATGATATGCAGTATGTATTCATTGTGTGCGAAGATGGGGACAACTATTTGGAAGAAAACTAGAGACAATAAGATAGACAATGAAGTCTCCAGTGGACTTGCTTTGAAATTCGTGTTTCTTTAAATTGTTTCTTTATGAACTGTTTTGTTCTGTTTTGATATGTTTAATCTTACCCTCTTTAAGATAAAAAACAAGTGTGTATGACTGATAACCATATTACTAAGTTTTTGTTGGATCATTGAGCAGAACTGTTGGCAGTGTCACTATTTGAATGTCACTTTGTATGCTTTAATTTTGTAACCTGAACAACTATTTCTAAGATGACAATATGTAACTTATCAACTAGTGATTTCTTACTGTTTTATTTTTCTGTAATTCTGTATTATTTCTACCCCTTTTTTCCCCTGTTTTTTCTCTTTAAAAAAAAGAAAATTTTAACAGGCTAGAATAACAGTTCTTTAGTGATTTAAAAAGTTATTTGGCTTGTTTCTAGTCTGATTTGGCTAAATTATTTCCATCTTGTTCCTTATTATTTTATTGCTTTGCAAAAATTCCCTGGGTTTAAAACTAGGCCATAGGAAAAAATCTTACTTTGTTCCTCTGCAATATCTCTTAATCGTTTCTTTGGAATTGTCAACCTTTTCAAAAACAATTTCAGTATTTTACAGTCATATTTGCTACATGCTGAATATGTCAAAAGTTTGAAATCTTTGGCATTCTTCATTGCTAGGAGGCATGTAGCGTATCTTCTGGTTTTTGAGGAGACTTTCCTGAAATAGTTTAGTTTTATTCTATTACGTAAAATTTAAAGCTTCTCATTCTAGTCACCTACCTAATAGGACATAACAGTACTATTTGTCATCATAATAAAAAGCAATACTTGGAGGATTTTAGAGTAATAATAAAGGGTTAGAAGAAAGTTCTAGAATTATATTATTGTGCCACATTTTGAATTATGAATTATCAACTCATGTTTCCTTTGAATAAATGGTAGCCTGTGAAGCACTTTGCTTGTTTTTATGGTTTTCTTTTACCATTTTTATAACCTGTGATTTTTAAGGTAAATAGCTCTTCATAATGGCTTCTCTCTGATCAGTTCTCATTACTTTGCTGTCTTTCTTCCATATTTTAATGCTGGACTTCACTGCTTTTTCAGTGATTTTTTTTTTTTTTTCCTCTGCTGGTGTCCCATAAGTGTAGTCTAAATTTTTTTTCTTTATACTTGGGCATGTCCTCCTGATTCCATTTAATTTTCTGCCTTTTTCCCCTTCATTTCCTCACTTGTGAATTAGAGATCACGATCATAACTAATAAGTATAAGTGTACTAGTATTTTACTTATACAGAAAAAAAGAGAAGCTGTAAAACTTGAGGTCAAATAAAGCATAGTAAAAAACTGGGGCCATCAGCTTCTTTAAAGCTTTTGGAATTTTCCTGAGAACCCTATCTGAATCACCACAGAAATCTCCCATAAAACCTTTTCCTACTTAAAGTACCTGTGTCTAAAAGAAATTAAATTACATATTGTTAAAGTCTTGTGGTTTTGTGTTTTTGGTCATTTATCAATGTTTTTACTACTTTTATTGGAAATAGCATATCTGGGTTTTTTGTCTTTTTCATTTTTATCGGTACCAGGGATCGAACTCACGACTGCCTGCTTCCAAGGCAGGCGCTTATGCCGCTGAGCTAAATCCCCAGCCCCAAAAATAACATATCTTAACTACACTTTAACTATGAATGATTATGACGGGCCATTTTGAGTTTATCTAATAAACTAATGTTGATTCTAATGGGAAACTATGTTCCATGTTCTAAACAACTGAATTATGAAATATTCAAAGCTATCCATTTGTAAGCATGTATCACCCTTTCCTAGATTCCTTTTATTTTATTTTATTTTTTCTGTTATATGTTAAAAATGAAATTGATCCTGGTTATGTGCTCCCCTACTTCTAGTCTGTACTTTTCTGGAAACAAAAATCTTTGCTGCTAAAATTGGTAACCTTTTTCAGCATTCATGTTTTAGGCATCTTTTACATAATAATGGCCCATATTTATAGAACAGTTTTTTCCATGTGCCAGGCACTTTGGAGATGTTATTTCTAATTTTTAATTATTTTCATTTACGTTTATAGGAACCTAAGGATTAGAAATGTTGAGTAATTTGCTCAAGGTCACTGAGCTACTGTTTTAAATTTAGATTTCTTTGGCTCTTAACACCGTGGATCTTTCATTTGGTTAATGAGATTTCAGGACGAGAGCTAAAATTTGAATCATTGTTTGGTGTAAAAGACTACAAGGTACTTAGGCATTTTATATGTGGAATTAAAGAAGCAGGCAATGTCTGATCATTGACTGGGGTGAGAGATAGTTAAGACTTAATATGTTACTTAATGTATTTGTTTTTTGGACTCCCTTGTCTGCCTCATTTGCACTCCTCCAAGTTTTTCCTTTGACCTCTAAGTTTAGAGAAATAGGGCTATTAACTCCCAGTTTATCTGTAATCCCAATTATAGATAACAGTAATGGGTAATTTTTATTTATTTATTTTTTTAGTAATGGGTAATCTTGATGTCCATTTAAGTTTGATCATTTTGTGGACCAAAGGTCCTTCGTATAATCAAATAAACATTGATTCTTGACAGGAAAAGATATTGCAAATCTAAGCTTGTCTTTTAACAACTTCCAGGCCATTATTATTCTGTTTATTTGCCTATCTTTTTCACAATCACAAATTATGCGCAATTTAAATTTTAAAATTCCAATACTGAAATTTACCATCCTACAAATGCTCTTCTCCTATAGTGTCCACATCTAAGTGTCACCTCATTTGCTTAAGCCAAAATCTAGCATCTATCCTAGAAGCCTCTTTCCCTCATTGTCCTATTGTAAATCTATTTGAAGGTGTCCTCAGTCCATTCAGTGTTTGTCCCAGGTTCAGTACTATCTCCATGACCACTGCTCTCCTCCAGAATACTATTGTCTTTTGCAAAGATTATAACAATAGCTCTTGACTTTTCTTTAGAAAACAGGTCAAAGTCGTTATTCATGTGTTTTTAAATTTTAAAATGTAAAAGAGCAAGGGCAGTGGATAAGATTATCCTATCCTGCCCCATCCCTGCTTTAAGCCCTCTAATGTTTACTATTTCACTTAGATAAAGCACAGT